GGTTGATAATAACCCCTGGGAATGAGGTGATCGCTTCCAAGCAGTTTCTAAAATAAATTTTGTAAATAGCTCGTAATCATTTATATTGTAAAATTTATTTAAAAAAGTCCCGCTGGGTTTCTTGCTGGTTCTTCCCAGGACAGAGCGTTTTTTTCGAACCAGTGGTAAAGTAAAAATGACTTTCAATAAGAATTACACATGTAATGTATATTGAATAAAAAATATTCTATTCTATTCTATGTATTTTAATGTAGGTAGGTCATTTATATAGAAACACATTATCATTGTTAAGTTGTGCAACTGTTGCACTTGGCAACACTGCTGAAGAAGTATATTTAATATATTTTTAGGCATATGATATTATAAGAAATTGTTTTAATATTTGTATTTTGTTAGTATGGATCTATTGTAAGTTATAATAGATTTTTGGAGAAATTCGTAATACGCTTCGTTAAATAAAATAGATAAGGATATTAATTTTAAGTAGTCATAATATTTTGCTTGACTTGTAATGCTAGGTATGTTTATTATGTAATAGTAATTGAGTATATCTGTGCGATATTTACTATAACTAGAAAGCAAATATGTTGTTGCAAAAGGTATTAGCAAATAAGCAATTAATAAAATTAATAGTCAAATAGAATTTAGTTTACAAGAATCTTCTTCACTGTCGATTCCAATTGCTGGCATACCATCCTTTTGTCTCACAAATACTTACCCATGAGCAGTCCAGCAGTTGGTATAATTTATTCTTCTTTGTATATTTCATTTAATTTCAATTAAAAAAAATCATGAAAATAATTATACATAATACAAGTAGTGTAATTTAAAATCAGCCAGACTTTGACTAGGGTCAAATTCCCGCGGACGCCGACTCTTTTATCTAGCTCAGTACGAAACAATGCATAAGGTATTACCACATGAGTAAAGAAACCGACCAGAGGGGAAGCTAGATACAAACGGCTCGCTGCGAATACACCCATACATAGCGCAGCGATGTGTGCGTGAGCTCTCACCGACAGGTTCACCGACGCTCCGTCGGGGTACAAACCGGTTTGCACCGGCTCAGTCAGAGTATCCATGAAAGGGCTTCGTGCGCATTTAAATAAATAGACCAACAAACTTTTGAAATTTTATACATCAATTAATTAATTAAATTTTTTGCCATTATTAAATAATTAGATTTAAGTATTTTAATTATAGTAATTAAGAATTAAGTTATTATAAATTTATATAGCTAAATAATAAGTGTTCTGTATAAGCAAAAATGCCTAATAGTCGTACAGTATGTGGCATTAATAATTCTAGAGTAAATAAGGATATTTCTTTTTTTTGTACCCGAGAGATCAAGTGAAGTAAGTACCTTTCTACGTATTATATACACTATATTTTATTTTAATTTATTCCTTATTGTTTAAAATTAATCGATACAAAACAGCTCTTGATTTCGAACAATTCATAGATATTATGTTGTTACATTATGTAATATAAGTAATAATTAATACGCATATTGTTTTATACATACATACAAATAATCACGCCTCTTTCCCGTAGGGGTAGGCAGAGACCACTTTTTTCCACTTGCGATCCTTACATACTTGTTTTGCTTCGTCCACTTTCATTATTCCCTTCATACATGCTCTACGGTTTAGTGTACTCTTGACCTGGCCTTTTGTTTGTTTTATATTGTATTGTTTTATACACTGTATAATACTTAAATTTTTTACTTATTGTTTAAAATTAATCGATACGAAACAGCTCTTAATTTTAAAAATTAATATATATGTTTTATGTATAAATTATAATTAATACACATGTTATCTTATGCTATACAATATTTTTATTTTTTCTTAAATTTTTCACATGCATCATGTGACAACCCTATCAGAATAGGTATACATTTTCGACCTTGTTAAGAAGCTTCCCCTCTGGTCCTTACTATTTACTCTGTGGTATTACTACTCACTCTACACTTCCCTTTTACACACGCGCTGCCGCCCCGCGGCCGACTCGTGTCGCCTTGCGCTGTGCAATTTACACATGTCAGTGTCAACGGAATTTCCCAAATTGCAGGGATGTCACAGTTGGTGTGGGACGTTTTGGTATTATGTGGGGAAAATTCGTAGATTTTGAAAAACGATAGCTCGTGCCATATCAGAACCTTTTTTTCAAGACATTTTTGTTAGGTTACTTATGAATATCGAATGACTCCCTTTTGTATTTATCTTCATTGCACGAAATTTAACTTTCGGATTTATTTCGGCAACTTTCGTGTATCATTTAATGCTATTAATTTGTTTATTTTAATATTTTAAAGAAAAAAAAATGTTAGTTAAAAATAAATCTTATAAAATTAGTTGAATATTGTTTTATATGTTATAATAAAATTGAGGGGAATTTGTGGGGAATCTGTTGAAGTTTTGTCCTTAAGTTAGGGAATTCGATGTGGATTTTGAGGAATTTGACAAATTGGTGTTGGGAACGCTGGCATATTGCACCGAATTAAATTGATTTACCTACTAAGGTTTTTGTCAGCGACATAAGAATTAGACGCGGCAATCACTATAAAGCTTACAAAAATTTTTGACGTACCTCTTTTTAAATTCAATGTATTGGACGGATTAAATACGGAAATTGATTTAAAATAAAGTAAAATAATTATTTTATATTAATTCTGATAAATTAATTAACCCTCGAACACAATTGCAACTGATTTTAACTATTAAATTATTTGGTACCATTTCATTTCTATTTTCTTGTACAAAATCAAAGATAACGAGGAAATAGTGTTTATAATTGTGTAAGTGAGTAAATTATATACGCTTATTAATTTCAATATCATTTTTGTAGTAGCGGTGGGCATTTGCTTTGACGGGAGTTTAGTTTTGGAGATATTTCCATACTGTAGTTTTGACTATCGCGTGCGCGTGAGCGATAGTTCAATCGTTTTGTTTATTAAATTCTTGTTGTTATTATTTTTGTTGTTACGTTTAGTGTTTCTTGTTTTGTTTTAATAATGCCTAACGCGTACGTTTATACGCGTACGTGTACGTGAATACGGCAACATGTTAATGTGCCTTGAAGAATCTCATAATGCCACGGTGGATTTAGATCGGTAAGCTGTTTCATACCTATTCTTTTTAAATTACTTAGTATTGAACTGATCTGAATAGGTTCACTGAATACATCAGAATAATAACGATTTACAATGGATAAAAAAGCATGAGCAAGCTCTACCCTTGTTCACATTTTTCCATTTAAGAATATATTTCATTAGCGGGGAATCAAACCAGGTATTTGATTTATTTAACCTGTGAATTTGAATAAAAGTGGCTATGTGGAGACAAGCACAGTGGCTAAATAGTAGATTAAGTAGATGAGTTAGGTATTTAGATAAGTGTTGTAAATTATTTGGTATTGCGGTACCACTCTAGCTGCGGTCCGTGCGAATTCGGCGTTCGCGCGTACATTGACCACTAGTCAGCTGATTTTAATTCAGTAATGCCACTGCTGGTTTGATGTTTAAGTATTTTAATGATGTCTTTTTTTGAAATATCGTTTCATTTAGCTGTACTATCATGACAGAGCATGAATGAAGCTAATAAAATGTTGTGAAGACATGATATTTTTCCTCGGGATCCATTTTCTTTCTGACCCATCATCAAAGGTATCGTTAGTACTATCGTATGTCTTCGTTTTCGGGAGCGTTTCAAAAAATCCTGTATATATCGGTTTTGGTAATAAATCTTTATTAGGATGAGAAGTATTGAATTTTTTATACTTTTCTCTTTGTCAAATGCACTAACAGATCTAATAAAATTATCTACCATTAGGGTAGTTGTGAAATGGATTACGATAAGAGTTGTTGAGTTCGAATTTAATGGCAATTTGATACGATAGATGGTCTACGCGATCTCATTATATTTAAGGGGCACAATTAAAACCTCACTAATATTTCTTACAAATTTACACAACGAAGACTGGCTTTCTGGTTAAATTATTGGGAAATTACGAAGCTCGTTGGAGAAAGTTTTGGCATTTTGCTCTAGATATTCTATTTTATTTTTTTATATTTTAATTCTGTCTTGATTTTCTGAGTTTTCTTGCTGCACCTTATTAATTTTTTATAACAAATCATCGAATTTTTGGGCCATAAAATTAATTGACTTTTGGGTTTCTAAGTTTATTTATTTTAATGTTGAAATATCCGATAATAATCTATTAAATTTCGCAGTTTGTTGTTGTGTCAAATCATTTACCAACATTTTCTTTAATATCATAGCTAAGCGTATCCGACTCCGTGGCGCAATAGCTTAGCTTAGTAACTCACTAATGCACTGAGCGACGCAAGTTCAAATCCCGCACAGAATAAGTATTTGTATGACCTGCAAGTAATTGTTCCAGGTCTGGATGTTTGTCCTTGAGCAATTTATGTTTGTAATCTGCCTGTGGGGGTAAGATTAAAAAAAAGGATATATAGGATATATCGCTGTGTCTTCGCTAATATCTCTTGGCAATATACTCAACGTTTTCTCGATCATCAGAATACATTTTTTCGGATGCTGTATCTGAATCTTTGGTTAAAATTCGCTCTTTAGCAAATTTGGGCTCACTAAAATTAGATTGGGTACGCTGAAGTGACATAATGATTTAATTAGGTGTTATACGTAGGCTTATTCTGTTGATATTTAAAGTTATAGGCCTAAATAAAGCCATCTGCAGTTGATTTTATAATATTCAGTACACAAACAAAGGCATTTGTTTATATAAGCACGTATTGGTCAACGGGCGTGGCGAAATAATTGTAAGAAATTATCATAATTTCACATTCATTGCAATATACACTATATATTTTAAATAATTGTTTTGAACCAGTATATATCCTGGTTCATCCAGTCCCATTGTGCAATTTACATATTAAAAAAATCCTTTAATTTTACCTTAAAAAAGAGACAGAGAACAAAATAATACAAAATTAAAAAGATGTTAGTTTAATAGTATCACTTGACGTTCTTATTCACAAGCCAGTTAAAGGCACCTCCAAGTTCAGAAATGCTTGGATAGCTATTATCTTGAGAATGTAACGACTCGTGTTCAGGCGGTCCGTAACTGTAGCCGATGGTGTTGTAGTCTGAAGGCGCTCCATAGACAGGTGATGGTGTGGGTTTTGGTAACTTACTTTTTAGAAAATAGTTCAGGAATAGATCAAACAAATAGAACAGCTTTTGGAAGAACGCCATCATGAAGAATGTGGAAGCCGCTTTAAATACCGCCAATTTGGAGAAGATAAACAGGAGTATCATACCTGAAATATATTTTAATTATCAACATATGTTATTCAAACGATTTGTTAGCGACTAGCGATCCGCCCCAGCTTCACTTGGATAGGCTCTATTAATGTCAATTGTTTCGGATAAAATAAATCCTAGATCCCTCCGGCCATTGCATTGCTTCTAATTAATCTGTTCGTAATGTTTCAGCCCGCACATACAGTCAGACAGACAGACAAAATTAAAAAAAAGTTTATTTATGTCTTAGTAATATTCAAAAAAGACCCTTAACCCTTTAATAGAAGCCTATTTATATGTTTAGGTGATACTGAGTGATGATCGTGAAAGATTATTTTACACCGTCACCATATTTCGGACCGTGAGTTTCGTTAGAGGTGACTTTGTGAAAGGCCAGATAGATCCCATATCCTTCGATACATGATGGTATGGTATCACTTGTGTATTGACAGCATCATCATTACAACCCGTCGCTAGACCACAGCAGGACATAAGTCTTCCTCATATAAAATAACTTCCCTAAGCCACTTGTCTCCATCGACCCCTTGCACGTTTTAAGCATTACATTGAACACTAGTAGGTTTGAACGGGTGAATGTATCTGTGCTTAGCGAGCACACTTGTGGCTTTATATTGTCTTCTACAAAAACAATAAAACCGCAACATTCGAAAGTTTTTGACATGAATCTTTAGAAAAAAATTTTAGGAACCGGATAAGGCGGTAAAATAGACATCGGAAAGAAACCTGCTTGAAAAAATATAAGTAGGTATAAGTTTAGTCTACCAACACGCACTTGGGCAGTAGCACGACTCTTACTTGCACCAAAACGCTTTTAAATACGAGTAGAGGCCTTAATCCAGTAGGGAGATGTACGTACGCTTTACAGTACTTTACTATTTAAGTGATTGATGTGAAATTCATCACTTAAAATGTCGACTTAACTAACCTTTGTATTATATTCATTACGACCATAACTAAGTCACATTTGATTAGCATAATTTAGCTAACTCTCAGGCACAGCAGAGTGCCTGCGATTATACAAATGCCGCATCTGCGTTAAATTACTTCAGAGAACAGGGCTTGCTAGTTTTGCTGCGAGACTAATGTTTTCATTCAAATGTATTTTGTTTACTTAAGCTGAGCCGACACGACTTTTAGTTTACCCTTAATTGCACAGAAATTACAACGCCGAATTACAACACAAAATTTTGCTCAATTGAAGAAAATTCAAAATGTATAATACTAAAATTAATGTTTAAAAGCCATGGTAGCTCAGATGGTTAGCGCTCGCTGTAAGCTTCACAGTACTCGAGCAACCCGGGTTCGATCCCCGCCGGCACCAATGAAATTGTTAATTGCAATTTTAAGTGCTGATTTACCACGTGTTCGGTGGGGAAGGGAAACATCGTGAGGAAACCCGCATGTCTGAGAAATAAGAAAAGAAAATATTTCGAAGACATGTGAAGTTCGCCAAGACGCATTGGGGCAGCGCGGCGGACATTTCCTTGCCCTAAAACCCTCTCAGAAATGAGAGGAGGCCTGTGCCCAGCAGTGGGACGTAAATAGGCTGCAACTTTACTTTACTTTACTTTAATGTTTAAAATATTTTTGTAAATATGACCGTTAATGATGAAAGTTTTATTTTTAATTTATTATATGCTGTATAAGACAGTTTGCAGCATATACATATAAGCTTAATCCACTACTCTGTTTCTATCCGTGGGTGCACTAAGAGGCGATATTGTGATATGTTAGAAAGATCTTATGGCTTCTGAAAGATAGCAGCTATGCTTGCATATGCTAAGTCCAAAGTACCCATGACCTTTACAGGCTTATAAAGGGTTTATGTTTGGAATTTTACGTGGGTTTTTGAGTAGTGCAGTCAAAGCTATCTCCAGCCTTACTGTGTTATCGCTTCTACTAATACCTTTGTTTTGCGCGTACTTCAGTAACTTTATAATTAATCAACCAGGTGAACTTTAAATAAGGAAGGTAATTATTAAATAACGTTTATACTTACCAATCAACTTAGTCCTATCTTTTTTCTTTTTTGCCCTTGTTTCTCCTACAAGCAAATCATTACTGTCTAAGCAGTAACAACACCCTATCAATACAAATAATATTAGCAGAGCTCTTGACATTTTTTTTTTCAAAATAACTAACTTAAAAATAATGAATACTAAATACTTTTTAACTTATAGCTGGTTATACTTGAATATAAAAGTTTTATTAAACTATAGTAAAAATATCTGTTCTACAGATGTTAGCAGTGCCACTACGAGCCAGTAAATACCTTGGTGTTTTAAATACAGTACATATTTGTTGTACGGAGGAAAGTTACCCTTTGTTTTCGTCAAGTTAAACAAATCGCGTCGCCTTTTCTCTCACTGTAACTAATGAACTTGTACGGAGTCAATTACAAGCTCTTTGTAAGGCACGTTCCGAGCGTGTTCCCAGTATTCACATGTTATGCTTTTTAAAAATTTCACCTATTAGAATGAAAGTGATTTGCATGATAATTATCAGACATCGCATTGTTAGAACATCTGCTCGAAGGCGTCCCCGCGACGAAGTTGCTTGGGATGTTTTGAAATTGTATTATTGAAAAATAGTTTGGAAAATCCAACAGTGCAAGCTTCATGAGTGTTTCATTTAGTTTTGATGAAAAAATAAATGACAAAATAAATCGATTACACAAAGTATAAAATCGTTATAGGCTGTATAGTACATTGCCCTTTGTATATAAAGGGCTAAAGAAAAACACGCAAGCGCTAAAATTTTAATATAAAGTTTTTAGTATAACTATTTAAAAACATTCTAGTTGTAACATTAAGCTCGTGCTTATTCCTTAGTCCAAATTTAAACTTTTAACAAAATGTAAAATTCTATGAACTATTTTTTTTATACAGAACTAGCTGCTCCTCGCGACTTCGCCCGCGTGTTAATTGGGGTTTTAGTTTTTTTGCGCGGAACCCAAATTGTTTTTCTAAAATAAAAGTAGCCTAAGTTAATCCTTATGACATTAGCTATCTGACAGTGAAAGTCCCGTCAAAATCGGTACAGCCGTTTCCGAGATTAGCTGGAACAAACAGACAGACAGACAGACTGACCGAAGGACAGACAAAAATTTTCAAAATTGTGTTTTTGTTATAAGTAAAGTACATACTTTCATATGCATTGAGCTTCTGAAAGCGGGTGGAAAACTAGTACTTGAAGTCCTTCAGAAGCTCTTTAATTCCTTCCTGCATGGTGGCATTACACCGGAGGCGTGGAGCAGAAGTGCGGTGGTCTTGTTTTTCAAGTAAGGCGACCACGCTCTCTTGAAGAACTACAGACCAATTTCCCTTTTGAGCCGCGTCTACGTGCTGTTTTCGAGACTTCCAGCCTCCCGAACAAGCTGGTTTCCGAAACAGGCTTTAACACCATAGATTACATACATACCCTTCGGCAAATTTTACAAAAGTTAGAGGAGTACAGTTTGCCACTATGTCTGGCGTATGTGGACTATGAGAAAGCCTTTGATTCCGTCGAAATTTGGGCGGTGCTGCAGTCCCTTCAGCGGTGCCAAGTGGACTGTCGGTATATAGAATTACTGAAGTGCTTGTACAGTAGGGCTACGATGGCTATCCGAGTACAGAACCAGAGTATCCGATTGCAGAGAGGTGTAAGACAGGGTGACGTCATATCCCCGAAACACTTTACCGCTGCATTGGAACACGTTTTCAAGCTTCTGGACTGGAAAGGATACGGTATCAACATTAATGGCGAGTACATCACTCACATTCGATTTGCCGCCGATACAGTCCTTATGGCAGAATCGCTGGAGGACCTAAGCACTATGCTCAATGACTTCAATAGTGCTTCCCAACGGATAGTTCTTAAGATGAACATGGACAAAACAAAGATCATGTTTAATGTCCATGTCACACCTATGCCGGTAGTTGTTGGGAGCACTAAGCTCGAAGTTGTTGACGAGAATATTTACCTGGGACAAATAATCCCACTAGGTAAGTCCAACTTCGACCGAGAGGTCAATCGACGGATTCAACTCGGCTAGGCAGCGTTCGGGAAATTACGGCACATCTTCTAATCAGGTATACCTCAAAACTTCAAAACGAGACTGTACAACCAATGCGTGTTGCCAATGATGACATACGGAACTGAGACGTGATTCCTTACTTTGTGCTTTGTGGCATTCCTTGGGGGAGGCCTATATGTTCAGCAGTGGACTTGTGAAGGGCTGTAATGATGATGATGATGATGAAACACGATAGAATCCGTAAATGTAGTTTTATTCAAAATCATAACATTCTAATACTTTCTTCACATTAAGAAGATCTTCTTCGAAATATTTAGATTTTGGCATAAAAATGCTTAATCCAAACAAGTTCATCGTATCCACAGAAAGTCGGTCCTGTACGTCAGTCATTATGCTATCACTCATATATTAATTATGTTATATTTTGTTTATGCGTGGTAGAGCCATGCTGTAGCTATATTAGTAGTATAGTTGTAGCACGAATGGATCGACTCGACCGGGGAAGGACCACGCTCTCACAAAATACAGTCGTAAAATGGCAGCTTGACACTGCTGTGTTTCGTATGGTGAGTGTAGAGAACCGGAGACCCTTTTTACTGACTTTTCCAGTAAAAAGGGTCTCCGGTTACCATCCGGAGACCCATTTTACTGGAAAAGAGGCATTCCATCTTAGTCCTCACGGGAGACGACGCATTTGCATTTTGATTCTTTATTGAGGATAAATGTAGATGTCTATGGGTCACAGCAACCACTTACCATCAGGTTGACTGTGTGCTCGTTTGCCACCCTATCCTATAAAAAATCTATCAGTACAATATAAAAAGTCCTACGAAAATATTCCTCATCATTTCCTTGGTGATTATCGCGAAGAGTCTGTCAGTAATTTATAGAAGATTTTTCAATTTGAAGTGTACGATTTGGGGGGTCATGTTCCCTGTGATCATTCCCTTCGTACCGCGCCTGGGCCCATTTCAAGTAAAAAGGGTCTCCCGTTCTCTACACTCACCGTACGAAACGTCGTCTGCTATTTTAGACTGATATTCTGTGAGAGCCTCACTAGGTCGAACCGACCCGCTCGTGCTACTACCATAATATATTGTAGATATTTTACAACACCAATATCTTACAATGTAGTTACACATATACGTACATTTTATGTTTGCTGAATACCTAATTACCCAAATAATAATAATATTTAATAACACATAAACTATTTGTATATAAATCAGCGGGCATTTCAACTGTCGGCAGATATTGAACGTTCGCAATTCCCTTATTCACACAATCAGTACATAAGTGATACCGTTTATCATTGTGTTTGCTTTTTTTGTGAAAAACTAGATTTGCAGTCAGCTTAAGTTCACTCTGATTATCATTATATATTATATCAATAGTGTACATTTTCTTTGTTATTTCATACTATAGGTTCCTGAAATATATATATTCTATGCAGGCTGCAGTCAATGCCATGTACTTGCTTTGCTGCTGGATAAGGCAACAGTTGTTTGTTTTTTTTTTTGTTTCCCGCGAAATTACACAGCCAGACAATGTAAAACAGAAACCCGTGTATGATTTCCTATCAATACTGTTACTACCCTGATAAGCATCAAAAAACCCTTCTAAAATTGAGTTCCCAGTGAACAAAAAAGCAGTGAAGTTAGCCGTGATGTTTGGTATGTTTTAAATATCTTAATATACGCTTAACATATGGACAGTGCCCTTTACTATAGCAATTATTCAATTGACTCAATAAGCCTACTGCAAATGCTATGTGAGATCTGGTAACTACTGCTAGATAAATGAGACAACCTATTATTTGCTGATCAGGAAATTCATCTACATAATTCTCATCTTTAGATAGATGTAACCACGGAGCAAATACAAAGAGAAGACGGCCTAAGCAACTGTGCACTGTGATTCTAACTAGGTCCTGACGTCTTCACACTGGGCGTGGCTTTAGTTAGTATGTTGTAAGCGTTCGTCCTATGCGCTTATGTGTCGAAAATCACAAATCAGTGTATTTTCGTAGTATTAAGAAGAAAACGATGAAGTGTTGTGTTTTATCGTGTAAAAACTACTCAGATAGACGCTCTGGTGCCATGTATGGCATTAAATTTCATTTGTAAGTAATTTTATACCTAATTTATTAAAATAGTTCTAGAAAAATTCCTGCGTTGGCTTTTAAATATAATTAAATATATTCGACACAAGATGGCGACACTTTGTGTCATGTGAATTAAATATATAATAGTATGTATAGCTCAGTATTGGTAAAATAATCATATGAAAGTGATGAAATCTGTTTTTGCATTCAGTCCTAAAGAATTTTTAATCGCCAAAATAGTATTTTTATAGTTTTTATAATCATTTTGTGAACAGGCCGCCATCTATAGTCAAGGTAGCTAAAATAAATTGCAACATCGATATGAAACGATGCGAGTAGTTTTACTATTTATCGGTAGATGGAAAAAAGTTAAGTGTTGGTAAGTGGAAAATAGTTAACCACTTAAATACTTGCAATTCTTCAGGTGTTGTAGATGTTCATGGGCGACGATTATTATTTACCATTAAGTGAACAGTATGCTTTCCTTCTATAAAAAAATCAGGAAATTATTTTAACCTGTTGTTATCAATCAAGCCTTAACATTAAATCAGAGAAAGCTTGCACTGTAAAAATTGTCGTCAAAGTTTCGTCATTCTGTTTTACTAATTAGTAAAGCAGAATAACCGAACATCTTTGGGAAGCAAACATTGCAAACTTGGGAGACGCATAAATTATGCAGTATTACAACCGTCTAGTGCAATGACACCGTGTACTTTTAGATGCTGACGCAAAAGAAAGAAAATATTTGTACTGTATAGCTTAGAAAGTCTTTAAACTACGTTTACCAGTCGATGAACTTGACAAATAGCAAGACTATTTTTAAGATATGTCGGTTAATTTCAACATAATTGAATACCAGAATAAATAGATATGACCAGTTCAATATAGTAGTAAACTAGTAAAGTTTAAAGATAACGTTAAATGAAAATGCTTTGATACTATAATCATTTGTTATTTTTTATAATTATACAAGTGACCAGCTTCGGCTTCGCTCGCGTTGTATTGGAAATCATAGGAGCTTTGTTTATAGTTTCTGCCTAAGGCACTTTACTTTTTAGTATAGTAATATAATCAGTCTAGCACACAGGGCACGCCTGTGTGGTAGACTGATTACATTACTTCATATGAAGCTAATCATTGAATTGATTGATGATAACGATACTATATGAAAACACAACAACCAAAATATAAATTCTCTCTCTTCCCTATGCTGTAGGAAATTCGAAAAACCTTTCCTCATTCTTTGTCTTCATTAAAAAGGGAACCTCTATACAAAATATCAGTATTCTAGGTCCAAGGTTTAGGCTGGTCAGTGATACAGTAAGTGATTACTAATAGAAAGTGAGTGAGGGAATCGGGATTTGTCTTTCTATATATGTTACGGCTAAAAGCCCAAGTGCGTATACACCTAGGTTTAGCCGGCTACTACTAGGGGCAGCCAATTACAGTTGTTTGAACTTAGGTTAGGTTAGGTTAGGTTGGGTTCACTACGGAGGACCCTGGCGATGGCGGTGAAAGCTGTGCCTCGCTGGGGAGCTCAAAGGCGGAGCTCAATGCCGCCAAGAGGGAGCAGCGCAAAGCCGTCGCGGCCGACGAAGTGTCGGAAATGGCCCGACGTGCTCGCGAGCGACGAGCTGCTCTTGCGGCGGAAGGGGGTGAGCCATCTGCGGTGGCCTTAAGCCAGCTGGCTCTGGATGGGGTGGACTTAGTCCTGAAGGTTGCCACCAAGTCCGGCAGCCTGAAGGGCACGTTCACCCGTGGCTTAAAGGAGGCTGCCGCGGATATCAGGGAGGCGGTTGGCATCCTCCTCAACAGGACGGCCTCTGACGAGGTCGCAAAGTTACAGGAGGAAAACAGCCGCCTCAGAAATGACTTAGAGGACCTCCGGCGGCAAGTTGCTGCGTTGAGCGAGCAGCAGCAGCAACGCACGTCCAGCGATGCCGCACCTGTAGTGGACCCGACTCCCGCACTGCGACCGGCAAGCCTTCGTACCGACGAAGAGGTCGAGCGCATTGTCCGGCTCTGCATGCTCCAGTGCGGGAGCATGGTTAACGCTCGGCTGGAGGCAATTTCTCGGCGTCTCCCGGTGGAAATCCTCCGTCCGCCTTTAGCGGCTGACACGCGGAGGACTGAGGAGCCGCCGAGACTTGCGCCTCAAAAGGGGAAGCCCGCGGAGGGTAACAAAAAGCCCGCGGAGGGAGCTCCTCCGAGCAACCAGCCCACGACTGCCGGGTCTAAGGGTGAGACCTGGGCGAAAGTCGTGGGCCGCAAGAAGGCCCGCAAAGCCGCCAAGAAGGCCGCAGCAGCCGCATGTGCCCCAGGTGGAACCGCAAAGACGGCTCCTAAACCTGCACAGCGGACTGCCAAAGGCGGTCGCAAGAGACCGGCTGTACATGTTCCGCGGTCCAACGCCGTGACAATAACGTTGCAGCCTGGAGCTGTGGAGCGTGGCGTGACGTACCAGTCGGTCATCGCCGAGGCCAAGGCCAAGATCAAATTATCTGATCTTGGCCTTCAGTCCGTCACCCTCAGACAGGCTGCCACGGGTGCACGACTGTTCGAGGTGGCTGGCACTGTGAGCGGCAGTGCCGAAAAGGCGGACGCACTTGCCGCCAAGATGAGGGAGGTCCTCAACCCAGAGGACGTCCGGGTCTCCAGGCCAATGAAAACCGCAGAGGTGCGGATTGCTGGCCTGGACGACTCCGTGACCTCAGAGGAGGTGGTGGCGGCCGTTGCCAGAAGCGGAGAGTGTCCGCCGGACAAGGTGCGGGCTGGCGATATACGCACCGACGCCACCGGACTCGGCGCGGTCTGGGTTCGGTGCCCTGTAGCGTCGGCAAAGAAGATCGCCGATAGCGGCAGATTGCTGGTAGGCTGGGTGGCGGCAAGGACCAAGCTCTTACAGCCCCGGGCTTTGCAGTGCTTTCGGTGCCTGGAAAAAGGGCACGTCCGGGCGAAGTGCACCGCCGAGGTTGACCGTAGTGACCTCTGTTATCGCTGCGGCCAGCCTGGCCACAAGGCTGCCCTGTGCTCCGCGGCGCTCAACTGCAGCCTTTGTTCTGCTGCGGGAAGGCCAGCGGAGCACAGAGTAGGCGGAAGGGCTTGTGGGGCGCCTGCCAGCAAGAACAAGAAAAAGAAAAAGGAAAAGAAGAGGAGCACTAAGTCTGCCGGGTTAACCTCGCTGCCCTCGCAGGCTAGCAGCTCCGCGGCCGACTAGAATAGAATAGAATAGAATAGAATGATTTTTATTCAATATGGATTATTACATAATACTTATTGAAAGTCATTATTTTATTTACCACTGGTTCGGAAAATACCTCTGTCCTGGGAAGAACCAGCAAGAAACCCAGCGGGACTTTTTTTTTTAAACATAATTTCACTTAACAATAATTTTGTTTATACAATTTTAAATGAATTTTCATAGAACCAGCATGGTGGCGATCACCTTATTCCCAGGGGTTATTTTCATTCATGTATTCCTTGATATTATAATAACCCTTTTTGTACAGTTTTTCTTTAATAAAACTTTTAAACTTGTTTATTGACAAACTTTGAACATGTTCTGGGATTCTGTTGTAAAAGCGTATACATTGCCCCATAAATGAATTACTAATTCTGTGGAGTCTTGTAAGTGGCATTACAAGCTTATGTTTGTTCCTAGTGTTTAAGGTATGAACATCCTTATTCTTATTAAAGCTATTTATGTTTTTATGTACATAGATTACATTTTCATAAATATATTGCGATGCCAAAGTTAATATGTTTATTTCTTTAAATTTTTCTCTAAGGGACTCTTTACAATTTAGATTATAAATCGCCCGTACGGCTCTCTTTTGCAAAACAAATATAGCTTCAATATCAGTCGCATTACCCCATAGCAAAATTCCATAAGACATTACGCTATGAAAGTAACTAAAATACACTAACCTTGCTGTCTCAACATCTGTGAGACTTCTAATCTTTCTTACAGCATATGCTGCAGAACTAAGTCTGCTTGCTAATTTAGATATATGGGGGCCCCATTGAAGTTTCGCGTCAATAGTAATACCGAGAAAAACAGTGGTATCCACAAGACTCAACTCCTCCCCATTTAAGAGCACATTGGTTTTCGAATGTTTTACATTAGGTATTGTAAATTTAATACATTTTGTCTTATTGCCGTTTAAGAGCAAATTGTTGGCGTTAAACCAATGTACTAGTTTCGATAGAGCATTATTTACATCGTCATATTTAATTGACTGCCGTTTCAGTTTGAAAATTAAAGAGGTATCGTCAGCAAATAATACTATATCGTGATTGTCCCCTACAAGATAAGGTAAGTCATTAATATAGATTAAGAACAGGAATGGGCCAAGAATCGAGCCCTGAGGAACGCCCATTGATACTACTGATCCGGAGGAACATTTACCATTAATGACGACTTTTTGAGTTCTGTTACTTAAATATGAAGTAATAAGTTTAAGCGCCAAATTTTTTACACCGTAATGTTGTAGTTTCCTGATTAATGTATCATGATGAACACAATCGAAAGCCTTGGAAAGGTCACAGAAAATACCTAAGGCATCTTGTGAATTCTCCCAGGCATTAAAAATATATTTCATAAGCTCAACACCGGCGTCAGACGTCGAGCGACCCCTTGTAAAACCAAATTGATTTTTATGAAGTAATTTATTTGTATTAAAAAAAATTAACAATTGATCCAAAATTATTTTTTCAAAAATTTTACTGAGAGTTGGTAGTACAGAAATAGGTCTATAATTAGCGGGGTCCAATGTACTACCAGATTTAAATAAAGGTATTACTTTACTATACTTCATTAAATCAGGAAACACACCAGAATCGATACAAGTATTAAAAATAATAGCAAGATGAGGTGCAATTAAATCTATTATGGACGCAATCACTGTTACGGAAATCCCCCACAAATCTGCGGTTTTCTTTACATCAATGGTTTTGAAGTATTTTACAATATTATGCGGTAATACTTTTTCAAATCTAAATTCTTTTAAACAGGTTTTAACATTCTGTTTAAGTAATGATTCGGCGACAGTTGGAGAAGCATTCAATGACTCTGTTGTCAAGATAGGAACATCAGTAAAATATTGCTCAAACACCGCTGCAACTTCTTGATTTGATTTAGTCAATTCATTATTAATTTTTAATTGATAGTTTGAATTACGAGGTTTCTCTTTACCGGTTTCGCTGTTAATTATACTCCACGTCATTTTAATTTTATTCTTAGCTGTCTTAATTTTGTTACTAATATGTAATGATTTGGCTGTGGAGCAAACTCTTTTAAACATTTTAGAATAATTTTTTACATATTCTTTAAAAGCATCGGAAAGATTATACGATCTTTCATGGTAAAGGTCATATAACCTTCGTCTGCTTTTATGAATTCCTACTGTCGCCCACTCATTAAATGCCTTGCGACTGTTTCTGGAGAATGTTTTATTAAATTCATTGTTTATAAAGGTAAATAATTCTCTATATAAATAGTCTGCATTGTTCTTATAAGAAAGGGATGGAAGGATTTTTAACATATTACTTCTAAATCTCTCCAGGCGTTTTGCATTAATAGGAACAAACATAATTTTCTCATTTACCTGTTTTTTGTGCATATAAGGTAACGAAACCAGTTGTCCACAGTGATCTGAACTCCCGGCCCAGGACCGTTGCCGAGGGGATGGAATGTCAATAATGGCACGATTCCATTCTCTCAATTTCCTCCAGGGCAACATCAACCACTGTGCCAGAGCTCAGGATCTCCTACTCCAGAGCATGGCAGAGTGGTCGATTCACGTGGCTGTGGTCGCCGAACCGTACTTCATTCCCGCCCGTGACAACTGGTTGGGATGCGCTGACGGTTTGGTGGCCATTATTGGCGAGACTCTGAGCGACCCGTCTCGGGGCCGCGGCTGGGTTGCTGCGGTCTCGGGCGGCATCGTTATTGTAGGGGCGTATTTCTCCCCCAACAAGAGTCTCGCCGACTTTGAGGGTTTCCTTGTCGAGTTGGGCGCCGTCGTAGGCCGCTATCACCCTCGTCCCGTTCTGGTGCTCGGGGATCTCAACGCCAAGTCATCGGCGTGGGGATCTCCGGTCACTGACCCTCGGGGCGAGGTGTTAGAAGAGTGGACGGTGACGACTGGTCTGGTCGTCCTGAATCGGGGTTCGGAATACACATGCGTGCGGCAGCGGGGTGTGCGACGTTTCGTTTGCTAGCCCCTCTGTCGCCAGCCGAGTCCGCGACTGGCGTGTCGCCGCAGAGGTGGAGACGCTGTCGGACCATCGGTATATCCGGTTCGACGTCTCTGCCCAGACTGCGAGCGGCCGCCATCCAACAACCCCGATTAACGACGGCCCGCGTTGGGCGCTTAAGCGCATCGACAGGGAACTACTCGAAGAAGCTGCCCTAGTCCAGTCCTGGATTCGGGAGTCGACGACGGACGGCCCCGTCGACGTCGAAGCGGTGGCGCTATGGTTTCGCGGGGCGATGACGCAGATCTGCGACGCGTCCATGCCCCGTGTCCACCAACGGTCCGCAAGGCGCCAGGTGTACTGGTGGACCGCCGAGATCGCGCAATTGCGCATAGCGTGCGTTGCGGCACGTCGCCGGTACACCCGATACCGGAGGCGGCGTCGACGGGATCCCGCCGAGGAGGACGCGCTGTATGAGGTGTACCGCGCGTCTAAGGAGACTCTGTGGCTGGCCATCGGCGACTCAAAGTCGCGTGCCAGGGAAGAGCTGCTGGGATCCCTAGATCGGGATCCGTGGGGGCGCCCCTACCGTTGGGTACGGGGCAAGTTGCGTCCCTGGGCGCCTCCACTAACACAAACGATGCAACCCCAGTTGCTAGAGGCGGTGGTATCGGCTCTCTTCCCTGAGCGAGTGGGACACGTTCCCCCGGCGATGGCTTCGCCCTCAGCCACAGACTCTCCAGAAGAGGAGAGCACCGATGTCCCCGAGGTGACGCAAACAGAGACGAGAGCGGCCGTGTCGCGACTCCGGGCTAAGAACACAGCGCCCGGACCCGACGGAGTTCCTGGTCGAGCTCTCGTCCTGGCTCTGAAGGAGCTAGAGCCCCAGCTGAGAGGGCTCTTCACGGCATGTCTCGAGCAGGGTCAGTTTCCCAGTGTGTGGAAGGAGGGGAGGCTGGTCCTGCTCAGGAAGGAGGGGCGCCCCGCGGACTCACCGTCCGCGTACCGGCCCATAGTGCTGCTCGACGAGGCGGGCAAACTTCTTGAGCGCATCATCGCAGATCGCCTCGTCAGCCACTTGTGCAGAGACGGGCCGGACCTGGACGAGAACCAGTTTGGTTTTCGTCGCGGGCGCTCCACCATAGACGCTATTACGCGCGTGAGGGCCCTGGCGGAGGAGACAGTATCCCGGGGTGGGGTGGTGCTGGCGGTGTCCTTAGACATCTCCAACGCCTTCAACACCCTACCCTGGAGTTGTATTCGGGAGGCGCTGAATTACCATCGCGTGCCTCCCTACCTCCGCCGCACAATAGGGGCTTACCTTGAGGAGAGATGCGTTACCTATTGGGGACGTGACGGCGCTGGTCGGCGCGTCATGTCGTGCGGTGTTCCGCAGGGCTCGGTCTTGGGACCGCTCCTGTGGAACATCGGCTACGACTGGGTGCTGAGAGGTGAACTCCCGTCGGGCGCCGACTTGACGTGTTATGCGGACGACACGCTCGTCACTGCCCGGGGGAGTTCACACAGGGAAGCAGCGTTGGTTGCCACGGCTGCGGTGTCACAAGTGGTGAACCGCATCCGGCGCCTGGGCCTGGAGGTGGCCCTAAATAAGTCGGAGGCCATGGTGTTCCATGGCCCTCGACGCGCGCCGCCGCCGGGCTCACACATCGTGGTCAGCGGGGCCCGGATAGCTGTCGAGTCCACCATGAAGTATCTGGGATTGGTGCTCGACAGCCGATGGGAATTCGGACCCCACTTCCGGCGGCTGGCGCCCAAGCTGATGGGTGCAGCGGGCGCGCTATCAACGTTGCTTCCCAACTTGGGGGGCCCGAGCGCCGCCTGTAGGCGGTTGTACGTGGGAATCGTGCGGTCCATGGCCCTGTATGGGGCCCCTGTGTGGGCGATGGACATGACGGCCAGCACTCTCGCCATTCTGCGTAAACCGCAGAGGGCGATGGCCGTCAGAGTCGCCCGCGGGTATCGCACGATTTCCTACGAGGCGGCTTGCGTCCTGGCCGG